GGGGGGAAGAAAGGAGGGCAGAAGAGAGAAGCAATGGAAGGAGAAGTGAGTTGGATGTGAAGGAGCTGACAGGACCGAAGAAGAAGAAGAGGAAGAATACTATTACTATTACTATTACTGCGAGGGAGAAGTGACGTCCCCGAAAGTGAAGCCCGAAGCGTGGGTCTGAGCCATGCAGCAGGATGCATTACCGTAATATTTCAGCCCGCCCTTTCACATGACGATGACCAGGGGATACCAGATTTACCAGTATGCATACCAGTATGTTGTATGGACTAGAGCCAAAGTAGTAAGCAATGTTCGGTATTATGATTAAGATTCCTCGATATGCTTCCAATGACAGGGGTCCCCCTGCCAGTGCCGGCCACTCGGGCAATCCCATGGCCGGTTCCACTCCCTCTTCCCTCACCTTTGTCATGGTTCGGGGGCCCCGGATTGGTTCCAGGCTGGTTGTCTTACGAGACACCCAAGAGTGTTGTGCGACTACACTAAAAGTACATACTCCGTAAAGTACTCGTTGCAAACACCCCAACTGATTTACTAAGTCCTTGCTAAGAGACCACCAGACCAGCGGTGAGTGTTTTCATCCTCTGTATCTTTACCATCGTGAGGGGAAACCCAGATTATAATAAGCATCATAAGGTGATTGTCAGTGAGGAGTAGGAAGAACGAGCAGCACTGCAGTAGTGTCAGGCTGAGTTCGGAGGAAACTAGTACTGTCTCTAGACGAGCTCCCGTCACAGATGAAACCCGACCGACACCAGCAAGGCCTTCCAGAAATGAGGTCCCCCGTGTATGGCATTCTGGAAGCTTTTCTCCCCATATATTTCAAACACGTCCAGTGCCAGTTTCATCCACAATAAGTTAACTGTAAGTAATGTAGTCAACATTTCGGGCAGAACACGTGCCGACACAAAAACCACCCGTCACAAAGAACCTCCCCTTCCACTTCCACCACCCCCGGACCAGCCATCATCATCAGTCCATCAATCACTACTATTTTCAACCATTCCATCGACATGGGTCTGCATCAAGCCATTGTCCAATGTCGCAGCCTGCAAGAAATGAACGTGAAATCTCCGGTCAAAGCCGAAGGCCATCCAAGACTCGCTAACGGCGACTTTACCCAAGAAAGTCATGACACGTAACGGCCTGTGCCCACGGCCAGACAGGGATCTCAAGACGAGTCAGAGCTCTCGGAAATAACCAGGATATTCTGCCCTTGACTGACAGCTGCCTCGACCACTGCAAGGCCGCGACCCGCCCAGGATTTCTCCCATCATGTCTTGCTCACCTTGTTGGATTGGGCTGCGGGACCGCCGATCGTCCCGCACGGAGCCGTGGGATGACAGAAGCCATCAAACATGGTTGGCTTTGTTCGGACATGTTATGCTGTGATCCAGATAATCCTGGAGAACGGTCCTGGGCATGATGACTTGTTCGTCTATGATTCCTGGGTTTCGGTGTACAGGATACTCGGCTACCATGTCATTCCGGTCTGCTGATTGCATTGCGAGGTTTTCCCCCGCCCTACGTACTTTGCAGCAGTGCAGCGAGTTTGTCCCGCTGCACACCACTCGGCCGCCGCCAGTGGCAAGTCAGGCAATAAGTTGATGCATTTCATTATTATTTCACTAAAATACCCCGTACTAAGACCATGAGGTGTTTTTACCCGTCTCTAGCTTGTTTAATCCGAATAAACCCTCGGGCTAGGCTCTGGCATCCAAACCAATCCATGACGCCAGACACTAGCTGCCTTCCTAACGCCAAAATCAAATAAGGCCAGCAATAATCAAGAAGCCCTTGTTAACTCCATAAACAACAGATAACACATGACGGGTCCGATTGAAACGGGTGCAGAAAGAAATGCTCCTTATCGACCATCATGCATTTCCTTGTTCCCAAAGCGCTATCCATTTATTCAATATATACCGGATTTCATCGACGGTATCCTTGGCCACCTTCCACTTGTCCTCGCAGTCTGCTATCTTGTCTTGTAGCTGCTGGTCCAAGTGTTTGAAAGCCGTCACTCTTGACGCCGCAACGAGGCTATCCTTTGGAAAGCCATAATTCTTATCCTTCGCTCGCTTCTGTGGGACCTCTTCTTCCTCGTCTTCCTCCTCTATACTAGGTAGAGCCTCAACTTCAGCATTGCCCGGCAATGTCTTGGATGGCCTGCCTCGTTTCTTTGGTGTCGATTCACCTGTTTCGGGGTTAAACTCGACGTTCTTAAACTTGAGCTTGATGCGCTGACCCTCTTCAGATCCAGTTTCGTTGCCGCTGACATCGCCATCATTCTTCTTGGCCCTCTTAGGGTTGGCCCCTGCCTCAGCAGTCTGCTTGCGCTTCTTGGAGGGCTGGGAAGCTCCTTGTCCTTCCGCATCTATGCAAGTTTAGCAACGTTAGGTCATACGGAATATTGATAGTACCCACCTGGAATAACGCTGCGATGCACGCACCGTCTCTTTGCTTTCTTGCACGGAGCACATGCCGGCGTCAACTTCTCCTTCGGGCTGTTATTGGAATCACTGGAAGATTCCATCTTCTTGGACTTCTTGGTGGCCTTTGAAGCTTTCTTTGGAGGGGTAGTAGGGGCAGGCTGCGCGGGTTGTGGTTGGGGAGCAGAAGGGGACGGAGTAGCTGAAGGAGCCTTGGCTGTGGCAGATGAAGCTTCGGAATTAGCCTAACAAACGATCGTTAGCGCTTCTCCACAAAATCTAACAACGGGGTAACCCACCCGCTGGGGGGAATGTTCAGCAGACGGAGCCATCTTCAAAGCAGTGTCGTCCTGCGAGTCGGAGATTTCCGCTTTGAGTATGACTGATTCAGCGGCAGTACACGTGGGACAGTTGTCTGAGACGTCGCAGTAGCCTCGACACTCGGGGCAAATGAGTCTTCCACCTTCAGTGGACGAAGACATTCTGTTGGTTTGAGGGTTGTTTGTCTCTGGGTTACACCACGGAGGATGTTGATACAGGGAGGGAGTCGATTTAGCTATGATTTATAACGGTAGGACAGAGTGGAGAATTATGTCTGATGGCTATAGCCGATTTATAGATTGATCCCGGCATGAAACACAACGAGGTTGTCTTGCTGCCGGTGTTTCTTTGTGCTAATTGTGTGTTTCAGGATACAACGCTTCGGAAATGTCCACAAAACGCGCCGCTTTATTCGGACAAGCAACAAAGACAAACAGTATAATGCCTCGGTTTATCTCACCGCTACATTCAAAGACTACAGGCTTTATCACATTCCAATCTACTCATTGTTAATACAGCGTACAAAGATACCTTCAATTTAATCTACAATGAACCTCATCCATCACTTTTATCATCCCAACAAAAATAGCACCTAAATCCAACAACAAGGAATAACACTACGTATCAAAATCAAGGCCACAAATCCACCTCCTCCCACTCCTCCCCATCCCTCACAGCCGTCCACCTCGTCCTAATCGGATTCGAAGGATCATTAACATCCAACCTCTCGACCTCCTCCGGCCGAATCACCACAACCCTGAAATTCTCCCTCGCAACCTTATCCTTGAGATCCTCCACCTTCTGCCCTAGCTTCAACTCCGGATGTCCGGGATCCTGATTCCTGGGTGTACCAGGAGGTGGATTCTTAAAAGTCCCTACAGTCACCACCCATCAGCACCCATACACCTTATCCCACCCCATACCTCCCTCCAAAACACATAGACAAAAAGAAAGAAAATGGAAAAGAATCGTACCTCTCATCCCCGGCGAATGATTCGCAAAATACATATCAACCTGCCTCTCCCAACTCCACCCTTCCCCTTCCTCCTCCCTATCCTCCCTAACCTTCCTCAACCCCTTCTCAACGAACCCCCTCCCCACCCTCTCCTCCTCATGCCCATCCCCCCGAGGATTCCCAACAATACATGCCCTCCCCCTAACCCTCCACATATTCCCCACCTCCCTCAACCAAAACACCGCTTCGACCACACCCCCGGAGCTCTCCAATTCCTTCACCTTCTCCATCCGCTTATCCGTCGTGAGGGCGAGCATCTCCGACTCGTAGATATCGGGGTTTAGACCTATGTGTTGGTCTTTGATGGATTGGATGGCCGTGGGGTGGAGATTGAGGGTTGGGAAGAAACCCCGGAATTCGACGGTGCGGGAGCGGGGGAGGGGTGTTGGTGAGAGAGGGGGGAGGGAGAGCGTGGTGAGGGTTATGGAGGTGGAGGTGGGGGAGGAGGTTAGGTGGGTTGTTAGGAGGGGGAGGTAGGGGGCTGGTTTGGGCATTTTGTCTTGGGTGAGATTAGGTTGGGTGATGTTGGTGGGATTGGATTGGATTGGGTTGATGGTGGTGTTGTGAATGAGTGAGTGAGTAAGTGGGATGGGAGGGGAGCTAGATGATGGAGGAGGAGCTATTGCATGACGTTAGGTGGTGTGTTGATAGCGGCACGTGCTGTTATCTTATCTGATCTATTGGTTGGTTGGTTGGGTTGGGAATTGGTAAGTAGTATTTAGTGTTGGATATAGAGATAATAAGATGGATAATTAATTGGTGATTGAGTCTCAGTAGTAGCAGAGGTAAAGTAATTATTCTTCTGATATTTTGTTTGCCAAATACTGCTTATTTTGCTGTACATGGAATGTGAAAATGTATCCATGGATTTGAACTTGGCGGTGTTAGTAGCTGGTAGTATATCATATATATGAAGTACCACTACAGTAGTATTTACTAATGTATACGCATAAGTAGTGGTGGAATGAGGCATTTCAATTTAGTACTGGTACTTTATAAAGTAATACTGGCAATGTAGTGCTTTGGAAGAGGATGATGGACTGGCATAGTTGGGACTAAGTTACTGGTAGAAGTTGGAAGGAGGAAGATACTATAATTTGATTTACTCAGTAGTGATGAACTAAGTACTATTCCGATGAATATGAGAAGAGCACTTCCTACAACTCAAACAAATTCCCCAATCACTCTATCACTGCCGGAACTAGAAAGAACTTGAATTGTAGTATGACTTTTGCCTGTTCTTAGTTACGGCTAGCAATCAATAATGTCACTGTTTATCGCTATCCTAACCTTGGCAAGCGGAACACGTACGTCTTAAGAAACGTCGGGAAAAGGTATAATTTTATTGACCAAACACCGTGCCTCCATTCAGCACTAAAACCAGATAAATATACCACAATAATACACAAACAATCCCGGCAGAAACAAAGCACCCATGCTCAGCATCTATGTCTGCATCTCCTCATCACTATCAGCATAATCCAACGCACCCCCAGGTATCCTCCCCTCATTCAACTCCTTCTCCAACCGCGAAATCTCCTGCAAACTCTTCGCCTCGCGAATCATCTTCTCCACCCTCTTCCTCTCCTTCTCCGTCAACTTAACCCGCACCGCCTTATCCGCGGGCGCTCCACGATCCGCGCCGCCAGCACCCGAAGGCACATCGAACGTGCGAGACTTGATTCCCATGATCTTGGACGCCAGCGCGGACGGCTCCTCAGCTGTGCCGAACAACTCGGTGGCTTTTTCGCGCTCTGCGTCTTTCACTTTCTGGTAGTCGAGGAAGCGGACGCTGGGGATGCGCCAGATGACGTAGTAGCGGTAGTGCTATACCGATACCATTCATATTAGACTTTATTATGCTTTGGATTCGGTAGAAAATGAAGAGTAGAGGGAAGCTTACCTCCTTCCTAGTAACAGGATTCTCCAACAACACCAAATGCGTCAACTGAACCAAATTCCTAAGCGGATCCAAATCCGCCAACTCGTTCATGTTATTCGCCGTCAAAACGAGCGCGCTCAGATTCGGCACCGAGGATGATATCGTCGGCTGGATCTGCTTGACTCGGTTACGCGCGAGGAGGAGGGTGCGGAGACGAGGGAAGAAGGGGAAGTTTCCGAGGGAGGTGATATCGTTGTCTGTTAGGTCGATCGCATCTTGGTCCTACACACTTGGTTAACCTCCATACCGCACACATAATGCCGCAAATAATTCCAGGAGAGAGAGGAGGTGGTGCTTACCTTGGCAATACCCAAGTTCTCAATAGCGGGTATCTTGTGCCCTATACGACTCAAACACAAAACCGATATCAATCAAGCTCATCTCAAAAGTGTAGTATCTGTTCTTTTCAGGACTGGTGGCTGGAACGCACCTCGAAGATCTAGCTCGCGGTCTTTGAGCGGGTTGATGTACGACAGGGAATTCTGGATCAGTTCGACGGTCAATCGCATGGTGGCGGGTGGGATTCGAGAACGGGTTCTATTGGGGTATCATGCACAAAGAAGAAGAAAGGCGCGCGGAAGCGACTGGTGTAGAGGAAATAGTGGATCGAGGAAAAGGTCAATTGAAGTAGCGGGGATGATGGGATTGAGACGGAGCTCTGTCGCGCAACTTGACTATCTTCACTGCTGCTGCTGATTTTGCCCGGGCGGTGAGCCGCTGTTCAGCTACACAGAGCGGCTCACGTGAGCAGTTCCACTATAACAGATTTACGCTTTCACTATGAAGATGAGCACTTTAAATTATTTCTTTAGTTTGTATTTGATTATGACTCTCATCAATAGTCTAGTATAATAAAAGGTAAAGAGTAGCTATGTACTCCGGAGCACGCCCCTGATAATATGGCACCAAGAAGCAAAGGACTATTATGCGGTCATACGCCGGCTTCAAGCAGCGACCTGGACTTGCAGATCTCTCCTGCAAGTCATGAATGAAAGAGAACCAAACGCCAGAGTGATGCAACATTGGCAACATAAACATAATCATACAGCAGCATTAGTCGTCTGCTAGAGGGGTCATAAGTGGTGACTTGGGATGGGATCTCGACGGACTGCCTGCTCGAGAGCGGCGTCCATTGGTTGTCGGTCCCAATGCCAGAGGTGCCAGATGATCCCTGCTCTCGGTCCTCACGACCAGCCCATGTCGATCCATCGCGTTGGCTCCTGACCCAGCCGAGATTCCGAGGCCAATAGTCCCGGATGAGGAATTGTCTAAAGCATATTTGAAGGTGGGCGTAGTATTACCACTGCCCCAGCTAGAGGCCCGCTTAGGGGCCGTAAACCTGGCGGCATCGGCTTCAGACGGACGTCCCCCGTCAAACGAGCTGCGGCTGGATCCGCTCGCACCGAGATCGAATTCCTGAGCGCCTTCCTCAAGAACGCGCTCATAAGTAGGGCTTCTAGGACCAAAGAACGGGAGCTTGCCACCAAAAATCCTCCTCCGCTTCGGGTAGTTCGGATGAGACGGACCACCCCAACCAAAGACGTTCTTGATCTTGTGGTAGACTTTCAGACGACGGCCTCGTCCACAAAGGAAGAAGGCCACCAATATCACGATGAGAAGAAACAAGACAAAGCCCGGGGCTCTGCGGGACGAGCTCCCTTCAAGGAGCGCATCATGCCACGTTGTGCCATGGATGCCTTCGGGACTGGGCAGCAGCTCCACGCTGGGGTACTGGAAATCGCTCGGAACGCCGGCAACATTGCTGCCAAAGCCGACAGGAAGTGCTTCTTCTGTTTCCAAGGGAACCTGAGACGAGGCATAGAGGACCATCTTGCCCAGGGTCCAACTGACTTCGGTAGAGTCGATCTTGTTCACGGCCTGGAAGGAGTCCAAATAGCCTTTGCTTTGGCCGTGGGACAGCACCTCCTTGGTTCCGTTATGACCCGAGCCCGCAATGTCCTCTAGTCCTACGCGCGGAACCCCAATACCATCATGCAACACGTTCATGATCCAGGAGGCCTTGAAGCAAATCTCCGAGGCCGATTCCCGATCGAACTTCTTTCCCCACTGGTGGGCTTCGAGACCGTTTTCCACGGTCGCCCAGTCTTGCGAACAGAACGATCGCACACGCTCCTGGTAGGTGGCAAAGTCGTAGGCCTTGTCCTTGTGACCCATTTCGAACGCCTCGTGAGTCGTATGCCAGTACTCGCTGATGCCGACAAAATGGTTGACGTCAAAGTCGATAGCCGGAACATGCATTCCGTGCAGGAGACAGGGTTGGTCGGGGCAAGGCGCGTCTTTGTCTAGTAACGGGTATGTTTGTCGCAGACACTCATCGAACTTGCCAGTTCCTAGCAGATGCATTCCATCAATGTCATCCGCCGCGAGAAGCTTGCCATCGATCGTGGTGCGCAATCCAGACGGCAGACACGGGTCAGGAAGCTCCTTGACGTCTCCAATAGCGCTGGCCGCTTGCAATGATTCCAGATAGCGCCTTCGCGCCTCGTGGACGCCGAATTCGAGCCATGAGGTGACAAAGACCCTGTGTTCCTGGGTCGACCCATCGACATTGCGCAGCCGTAGGAGAGTCAAATCGTTCGCATGCTTCTCGCTCTCAGTCGCATTTGGGGCAAACGCGATCTGCGCAGAAGCACCACCCATGTCCAGAAAGCCGTACGTATGGTGTCCCTTGCCGTGATCATGCGTGCCTGGGGAGTCGAAACTTCCCAGCAGATAGTTTGTGGCGACCCATCCGTACAAGCCCTCGGTGACACCCGGAATGACTTGAATATGGACTCCGCAGTCGGGAAGCAGGAAATCCGAGTTCGAACCAACATATGAGCAGATCTGTTCAAGGAGGAGGTTGCGCTGTACGTCAGGGAGGAGTCGCATGCCCGCAGTAGCGAGCAGGAAGATGGGAGTATCCTTCACGGCATCATCGGGAACGATCTGTTTCGCATGTTCGAGGAGTTCTGCCAGATGTTCAGGACCGACTTCTTCCGGTTTATCGGCAAACGACGACACTCCTATAAAACCAAGGCATTAGTGTTGACCATGAGACGTAGCGCAGCTATTCACCAGACGTACCGGGATGTATCTTCTTCGTCCAGTCGCTTTTCGTTTTCACTTCGGGCAATGTCTGCAAATGCTTTCCCTTTTCCCGCGCGACAGCATTGTCCAACCAGCGATAGACGTGGACTCGAGTTCCCTATCACCGGGATTAGAGATGGCGCAGAGGTATATATGGCGCAGTACTACTTACGGACGAACCCGCGTCCAGAACGACTCCATATCGGTCTATCAACCAGATATCCGTCAGTCTCCATATGAGCGAGAATCAAGGACTATGCGACGGGTGCTTACGTTTGCCCATGAGGATGTTGAGAGAATGATAGCCGTGAATTAATTGCAGTCAAGACCGCCAACCATGACAACTTGAGTGGAACCGCGAAAGGGTGCAAGGCTTAGTATGGGTGTGTGAGTGGGACGGGGGCGAAGTCGTGGGCTGGAAGTGTATGTAGTATGGGAGGTGGGACGACAATGCGGACAATTGATTACAAGGTCTAGTGTGAGGGTGAAGAGCGTATGTCGGGAGACGACGGAGAAGAAGTCAAACGAATGGCCTTGCTGAGAAGCAGCAAGATAACGACAACAAAGTCAAAATGAAGCCAAAGCCAAACTGCAGGCCTGGGGAAGGAGAAGGAGGAGAGGAAAGGGTGGGGATAGTAGCAAGCAGGAGAAGGGGAGGGAAAAAAGAAAAGATAAGGCCTCGTCTTGCCTCTCGCCGGGAACGGCTGGCTGACGCGACCAACTGCTGGCCTAAGGCTTGCCGTTAGTCCCGATTGGGCAAGGTCGGGAAGATGCGATCCCGTCTGGGAATGGGTCCAGCTGGAATTAATTTAAAGATGAAATGAGCTGCCGGTCCACCTAGCTGTGCGGAAATATTAAAATCTCGTTGATCATTTAAATATAAAGAGTAATTATTGCATACTGATTCAATAGATCAGTCAATACATTTCCATCATTATAAACTGAAGCAGAACATGGGAGTGCATCCATTGTGAATAAATAAAAAGAAGTTGAAAGAAAAGAAGATAAAAAGGGTCTGGGCCAGCCAAGAATGCAACCCCGGCCCGCTTGACGTAAGCTCGCCAGCCTTGTTGCGCCATCCCTCTGCAATGATTGGCTGAGATGCTCGGTCGGCGATTCCCTCCCCCGCCATCCATCCTCTCATTCTCTCTCTCCTCCCTCCTTCTTGATTCAAAGTTGTTGTGTTTGTTCTGGGGTGACGACAGATGTGCCAGACCAGCGGGTAGAACTGGAGTCCTTGGACCCCGAGATCGACACCAACCAACTACATTTTGTGAATGACCTGCCATTCGCGTGAAAGTTTACTCCGCAGGGAAGACATACGCAATCGAGGGGATCATCCGTCGGATTGCGAATACATGCACCCTCAAAACATCGTATTTATGCAGGGTAGCTTACAGAGTAGCTATCTGTGCTCTTCGCAGAGCCAATGACGGAGTACTATCTGCCGACTTAGAGCATGGTTGTACAACAGCTGGGCTTATAACTATCACATGTTATTCAGTCACGTTGCGTTGCCATAGCATCTGATGAAGTTCTGCTTTTTTGGTACTCTGTATCCATCTGCAGGTCGGCATGGATGATGTGACAGGGAATCAAATCAATCTGAAATCCGCCTCCACTTGATCGACCCCACTTTATGAAGGAAGCCAAGACTTCTTGGAAGTATATCGGCCATGTTATTGTCCTCGTTCCCTCGTGCGGAGAGTATAATCGAGGAGATCACTGGAAGGATAGGATATATCTTGTACTACTGGAGAGATCCTTTTTCCAAGGGACGTAGAAAAGTGAAAGAGCTATCGTCGGATATTTTTAGATCATTTGGTGTTCACCCTCGTATAGCATGACGCGGCCATTGGTGTGCTGCATCATCATCTGGTGCCGTCCCCGATGCCTGACCTTTTGTCTCCAGCAGGTAAAAGCGTAACTCAACGCTGAACCCCTCCTCTTGGCCGTGCATTGCACCTGCAGGCACTATTATAAGCATTGCGTCGGTGGATTAAAACAAAATAACTACCTGACTGGCTACTCCGTCCGCAGGCCGAATTGGGTTAACGGACCGTGCTATAGTTGCATTTCCCTGCATACAGACCGAACTCTATCATTTATCTATCCCAAAAGCAACATAGATTGCTTCTACATATTCTATAGATCGCTCCCCTTTCTTTCCTGGCACTCCGTCACACTCGTTGAGGATACTTTGGGTACCCCGACCAGCGTGGGACTTACCGAGCCATGCACCATCATCGACCAGTCTCCGATCTGTTCATCGAAGAACTGAGTCCGATCCAGTCCCAGCATTTCATCCTCGTCACTCACTCGCAACTGCATTCCAGGAATATACTTTAGGATGAGAAGCATAAGATAGGACACCACGAAGGAATACGATGAGATGGCGCAGATCTCCGCCAACTGCTTTCCAACCTGGACTCCATTGCCATCGATCGCTCCTGGGGATAGTGTGCTGCCATCCAAAGCCGAGATCTTTTCGCTTGCAAACAGTCCCGTCAGGAAAGCTCCCACCATCCCACCAAGGCCGTGTAGCTTGAACACATCCATGCCCTCG